GGCCGGGCCGAGCGTCCGCCCGAGCGCGGAGCCCCCAGCTGCCCCCGAGGCTGCGGGCTGCGGGGCTGGGTTCCGGGCGCCGCGTCTGCGCGGGATGCGCGGTGTCCCAGAAGAGGCTGCGCCCTAGGGAGGAGAAGGGGCGCCCCAGAGGAGACCGCTTCCCTGCGCGGCCCCACGACCCCGCCCGGGGCTGTCGCGTCTGAGTTGGATGCTCGAGTCCCGGGAGGTGATGTGTGCCCTAGGGTGAGACCCGGGAGAGGAAGCTGCACCCCCAGGAGAGAAGGCTGCACCCGGGAAGGGGAACTTGGATCGTCGGAGAGATGATGCTACGCCCCGGGTTGGGGCTGCGCCCCGGGGTGGGAAGCGCTGGGTGAATGAGCTGCACCCCAATATGAGGCTGCGCCCCGGAAGAGGGAGGAGGGGGGATGACAGGAGGAGGCTGTGCCCTAGGATGAAGCTGAGCCCCGGAATGGGGAGGCTGAGTCTCCCGGAGGAGAGGCAGCGCCCAGGTGCCTGAGTCCTCTCCGGAGGGTGTCACGTCTCTCTGCCTCAGGCTTCTGTCACCGTGGGCAGTCCTGGCTCGGGAAGATCCCGAGAACGGCAGGCTTCGGGCTTCTGGAGCAATCGGGAAACATCTGGGGTTATTGGGGGGCTGGGGTTCGTCTTGACGTGTCCACATCAGCAGTAGGAAAATTACTGCGTTAGGGATGGTGGTGAGAGGGGTGTGAACTTGGGCTGCGGGTGTTAAAAGGTGTTGAGTCCCGATTTACAAGTCCGACACCCTGCAGGGTATTGGAATCCCGATTTCTACTTCAGAGGTCGGTACCGGTGCTTGATTCCCAGTGAATAATTTTAGCCAGCAGGGTTTGGTGGTTCTGATAAATGTGTTTTATTTCCTTTGCATACTGTCATACCATCCCCTAAGTACTGTCTAACAAAAAGTGGCCCCTGATCAAACTTGCTGCTTTGGTCTTAAGAGCTGTGATCAGGACAATAGAAATGCTTACCTATTTGTTCCCTCCTAGATTTGCCCACCTGTTTTATTTCTTTGAAATGTGTCGCGCCCAGAGGTGTCCCCCACCCCCATTTGCAATTCCCAAACATCGGGTTGTGTAAGAAGTGGGCCCTCAATAGAAACCTTCCATTTCTTTTGATTACTGCTTTTCTGATCTCCAACCTCTTTGACAATCGCCACACCATCTCCAGTAAATGGACACTTTGGGGCTGAAACTACATGATCTTTTGGCTTGCCGAGAGGTTCCCAAGCTGCAGAATGGGAGAGGGGAAAAGCAAGGCAAAAGGCAAAAGGTTGATGTGGTGCTAGAGCTGCACTTCAGCACAGGTGTCCTCTAGAGGACAGGGCCTTGGAGCAAGGCCACTCACTGTGGGGGCTTGATTAGCATTGGCTGACACTCGCTGAAGCGGGGTGCTGCAGTCATGCCTCGGTGCAGGAGGTGAATTCACACAGCCTTTGGAAGGACGGATTGTCTCTGAGTAATGCACTGCTGCATAGGTGAGGGTTGCTATGAGCAGCCCAGGTTTGCCAGACTGAATATATTCAGCCACAGCTGGATGGGTTTGAAGCTATCATTGGAAGGGAAGAGAGGAGGACTCTCTGCAGGGGGGCAGTGGTGAAAAGAAAATTGGCCCAGGCCCGAGAAATTGATGATCCATGAGCACACGGTGTGCTCGTGGTTATGTGAGGTGACAGGAGAATTAGTTGTTTAGTGAACATCACGATCTCGGCTGGCAGGCTAATTCTGTTGGTGAATGTACACATTATAAGGCATTTGAATTGCTTTTAGATTTGGGGGGGGGATATGAAAATTCTTTGCCAGTATGCTTTTAAAAATGCATGAATAAAACTCATTTGCTAAGCACTAATCTGTGGCCTCAGAACTACAATAGGGCAGGATAGAACTGCCCCCATGGGCTTCAGAGCCTCTCTTTATGGGAGTAGAAATCCTCATCTTTCAGCCGCTGATGGTTTTGATCTGCTGTCCTTGCAGTTAGCAGCCCAACAGGTTGCTATGGGGTGAAACAGACTCCATGGATGTGAGTTTTTGGAGAATGCTGTATGCTGGGCCCTCCCCTGTTCTATGCCAGGGGAGACTGTGCTGATCGATGAGACAGACAGTTCTGGAAAGCTGTCTTACCTGCTGGGAAGGGACTGCCTATTGTTTTATTACATTAACATTTTAATTTTTCTTTTTAAAAAGATAAGAATTCACACATTTCAACCTTATAAAGCTGGGAAAGAATATGTGGAACTTCTTTCTGCTTCTCAGCTTCAGGGCTCCCCTCCAACCTTGTGTCCCAGTGACTGGGTATTCTTCCAGCAGCCCTCTGAAAACAAAGCTAGTTGTATCTATTTTAAAAATATAAATAGATTGCTTTTAATATTTCCTATGATGAACAGTGATACAGTATTCATGTATTCTTATACAGGGCTGCAAGCACAACCTGCTAATTGTTACATTAATCATCAACACTCTTCAGCCGTAGGTTCATTTCAGAACTGAGTTGTAGGATCCTGAATGCTGTAGAAAGAGACATGTAAGTTGTTAGGACCAAAGAATATTACTTACATAGATAGGAAGTAGTTATTTGGAGATTGATAGATAACCTCTAATATTTGCTCAAGAAAACTGATTAAGCATACTTTGAGAGTGAAAAGCTTAATTGGAAAGGTACAGTTTTATTAGAAAGCTTGCTGATTTTCTCTGTCAACTTTTTGGAATCCCAATGCCCAAATCCTTAATTGGGTGTGATGGAAATGTTGCTAGTTGCTGTGGCATCAGTCCTAATTCCTCTCGACCCTAAGTGTGCAGAGTAGAACTGCGTAGACTTCATAGGGTTTTCAAGAAGCAAGTCACCAGGCCTTTCTTCTGTTGCACATCCGAGTGGATTTGAACCACCAACCTTTGGTTATTAGTCCAGTGCTTAACCATTTGTGCCGGTCAGAAAGACTGACTATGCTCTTCAAGGTAGAAAAGGCAAATAGTGGAATTGCATTTAATAATTGTATATTAAAGTTACTAAGAATTCTACCTATTCCTTGAGTAGCTTAATTTTTTTAAAGTGACAACTTGGTATTTGGAGTATAGTCTGTGCTCTGGGCCCCTCCGTGCGCCTGTGCTCCTTGGGAAGGGACAACTTCCGAGGTCTTCTGGGCAGTCCTCGTGATGCCATCTACTTGCAGTTTGCTTCCTGGCTTTAACAACTGTATGGAGCGCTGGTGGTGCAGTGGACTAAGCATTGGGTTGCTAACAGTTCAAACTCACCAGCCTTTCCGAGGAAGAAAGATGAGGCTGTCTGTTCAATTGATGTACCGTCTGGGAAACCCTGAGAAGCAGGGTTATGGGGCCACTGTTATGGGGCCACTATGAGTCAGAATGGACCCAGTGGCAGTGGGTTTGGTTTGGTTTGGGTCTTAGCAACTATCGGGCTGGGACCATTAGTGCCAAGTCACTTTCAAGTTTCTGGCAGCAATTTGATTATTACTTCCGGCCTACTTTTTCTACCTGTATCTTTCTGTGTATTCTAGGAGAGGATTGCTTGTAGAATTCCGCTCTTAGTGATGGATTTATTATTTAGATGGGGGCTTCCTGGGCGGGGTGGGGGGGAGTTGGATGAAAAGAGCTCGCAGTTAGTTTGTTTTAGAGGGAAATCAGATGGAAGTGTTTCCTGGCTGTGCTTCACTCTTGAACTTGCTAGTTATCCACTGCTTGTCCTCCCGGCCCTGGGAACAAGACACAGGGACAGGCCCAGCAATGGTAGCCTCTGCCCTCCCGGGATGCACTTGGGGGTGGAGGGGAGGCATCATAGTGCATCTGTAAGGAGCAAATCCAGAGGGTGGTGGGCACAGCTGGTTGAGCTAAGTCAAGCTAAGTCCCACTTGGGGAACTGCGGGAGTCAGAGTGAGGGAGCCTGAGTTTCCTGTGGTGCTTTTGCTAGACGCCTGGGGCAGTGGGGGGAGTAAAGGAGGGGTGGTAGGGGATTCAGTAGCAAGAAATGAATGTCCAGTGCGGGATTGCTGGTCTCCCTGGATCACAGAGGCTGTGTAAGGAATTTGGGTTATAATCTAACTGTGGCGGGAAGTCTGAATTTCCCTTTTCTTTTTCTTAAAATGAAACAAAATTGTAGAAGATTTTGACCGAGGGAATGGCATGATCGGATTTACCTTTATAAGGGTCTGGTCACCTTGGTCTAGGGGCCCGTGTTCCTCCTAGATAGAGTATTGTCTTGCATGCCCTCACAGGGCTGTTGGGGTGAGACAGCACTTGAGGTTGCACCACTGTTGTCTTAGGGGTTTTCATGATCTTACCTGAAAGTGTTAATGAAAGGGCTGAAATGACTTGTGGACTGTTTGCACGGCAGGGCAAGGCTGTGTATTTAACCTCCAGGAATTAACTTTTCTGGAGCAAGAATAACTGGCAACGGCTTTGTAAGATACCATGAGT